CTTTTATTAAAATAAAACCATTTAAACTGGGTGTTCGGATTTATATGTCACTTAGTATATATGTGATGTAAATGTAAATTTTCGGAAAACACAGCTTGATCATTTTCAAATTTAGCCTGTCATTCCCCTGGGCATTAGACTTAATAGATTTGAAAGTTTGTATTATGTCTTTTTGATCAACAAGTTTAAAACTAAATTTCTGGCTTGTATGGTAACTGTTATTTGTATAGTAAGTAATTTTTTCAGCACAACATTCATCGTCGTTTGAAAAAAGCGGAACAAAAGAAATTGTTTATAGCATCTGGGTTTTCCAATCGATCAGGTATATCAGCCATTTTTGACTGCCTAATATGTAGAGACTTTCAGGCTTTGTGAAACGCTGAGTTTTTTCCTTTCTCGTTGCATCAAGAGCTAGATTCCTCATCTCTTTATAAGGTTTCCATGACTGCTCGGTTTTACTCCGTTTAAATTGTACAAAGGCTTTGTCTCAACATCTCATAATGACTTTCAAGCTGTCAGTGAGCCAAGGAGCAGGAGGCTTGCTAACACGGACATTTTTGAACGGCGCATGCTTGATATTTTGGATATAGGTCACACTTCCACATACAGTCAAAATCACGAAAGATGACTATTACGTCATAATATAAATTGTACTGAAGTAATCAATGGACGTACGTCGATGATAAAATCAATAAAATCACAATGTCGGGAACATAATATGACAATGAATTTATATTATGATTTTGCGAAGTTAGTTAGGTTATTTCACTGATTATTTTTATTTTCATTTTATTTCATGGTTTAAAGTGATACCTCAATAATAATTTTAGCGGGGAGTTTTTGTTTTGTAAAAACAGTTATGAGTAGAATACACCTTAAGACAGGAACATTGAAGACCAAAGTATTATTCGAAAACAACCTAACCTGCTTTAACATAACCTCTATTCATCTTTCAAATATGATCGATCATGCAACATGAAAACATCGTCTATCTTTGTCGGATACATGCAAACTAGCAATACAGTTTGTTTAGACAATAAAATTCTGTTTGTCTCTGTCTAACATATTTATTTGAAACTTAAAAAATATTCACAAAAAAAATTATGGTCATAATAATGCCGAAAATTTTTGCTGTCGTATTACACGAAAAGAATTCTTGTGGAAATTTTCATGGTAAAAATAATTGCGTTCGCGGGTCAAAAAATTAACCAGTTCGGAACTAAAACTGAACCATCCAGAATTACACAAATGCACATGTCCAGTTATTTTCTAGTTCGAGATTTTCGTTTACCGCGAACGACTTTGGAACCGTTTGCGTATTCAACACTCTTGCCAATTTGCCCTCTATTCTGTGCTGTTGTCAAGCTGCTATTCGATTGACAGTAGTCACAGCTTCCAGGTGCTTTCGGTACTTAAATAACTTTCAATAGTTCTTCCAAATCATCATCGCTAAACGATAAATGGTCCGACATCTTAAGCACAAAATCTTAAGCACTGAATCGATCTAACATGGAATAAACATATTAAAAATTTAGTTAGAAAATTAAGAAACCTTATTCCGAAAGTCAAATATTTCAGCAGTTTTTTAAGAGAAAAATATCTACACATTATATATCATGCCCTTGTTCAATCATTACTACCTTACGGAATCTTAGCATGGGGGAGTCATGAATAATTATATATTATTATTATATATAACTTTCAGATATACCATGCTCAGGATATGCACCGTCAACAGTTGTAAATTGGGTTCCAAATTAACGATGCATATTCCAATTTCGATCTAATATATGCAGAATACAAAACCAACAGTGACTCTGGGCGGCTAAAGCGTCTGCAGTTTCTCGCAATAAAACCGTATGCCCGCGAAGCTTCACTCACCTTTTGAGATATGTGGAGTGAAAAATTAAGTTTATGGTCAAAAACTACACTCAAATCCTTAATTGAGTTATAGCGATTTATGTAAACATTCCCAGTCTTATAATTAAATCAGTTAGATTTAACAATGCTGGAGCAGTATTATATTTATTCTAGTACAGCAATGTCTAGATCAGAGTTCCCCAAACTTTTTTGTATCGTAGACCCCTTGCCATGTTTTTCCGTGTTGGGTAGACCCCCTACTTACCTGATATTGATTTCCTGTAAATTTCTAACTGTAGTGAAGTTTAGTGTTAAAAATTTAAAGTAAAAACACATGTTAATTTATACATTTATTAATTGAATTTAAATTAAAACTACTCAAAATAAAATTTTGTATCTGTTATGTAAAATATATGTAACATTAAATAAACAGGTGTCTGACCAATACGTACCCGCATTGGGAATAAGTGCCCGCATTGAAAAAAAATAAGAGGGATATAATAAAAAAAGAAGTGAAAAATAATAAAAAAAAAGTTTTTTACTTAAAATGGTACAGTAAGCGAGTTCGTTTATTAATTATAATATAAACGTATGTTCTACAATAATTTCATTGCTAGTTTGATTAAATTCCGCTTCTTATACGTTTAAGTTATCTAAAAATAGGCAAAAAATTAACGAATTTTAATGTGTACCAATCCTTGAATTTTCAGGATAATTAAAAAAAACATATTTTCTATAAAGGGGGGTTCTTTGAAAAAATCAATGCGGGCACTTATCCCCAATGCGGGCATTTATTGGTCAGACATCAATAAACATAAAATAAACTATAAATAAAATAACATAAGCAATAAGTCAATATTTTTAGTGAGAAGGATGAACCTGATGCTTTAATAATAAATTATCAACATTTGGCGTCAATTTTGTAAGGGTTAATCTTAAATCTCCTCGGCTAATGATGTCCAGTCTGTTTCTTTTTTTCTTTAGGAGCTTGGTAACAGCGCTGAACCCCCTTTCCTCTAGGTATGACGATGGAAAGGAAATTACAAATTTCCTCGCTATCTTCCATAATACGGGATAAGTAACGGGTATGTTGTTTTGCAGCCAGAATTGCTGATATCCGTTTTTAAACTGAGCCTTAAGTTCTTCGTTTGTACTTAGTTCAGTCAGTTCCTCTTGTATTATGACATTCGTTTCTTCTATGTCACCATATGGATTAATTATCCACGATGGTATTACCATAGTCAAAATATCCTCAAACCTAGATTCAAAATCTGAATAGAGGGCATTTAAATATTGAACGTAAGTTGAAACGTCGTCTTCCTGGCAGTTTGTCTGTGACAAATTGGGGAACTGAGAAAATTCGCCCCGACCAATATTTTGCTTCATTAGTTTAACTCTGGCAAGAAACGCTGATAAGATGGACTTTGTTTTAATCAAATTTAAACTGTCGCCTTGTAATTGCAAATTAACCATATTAAATTTTGTAAACAAATCTGTTAAATAGGCGATGTCTGTTTTCCTCTTCATTAAATTTTCCCTTAAAATTTTATCTTTAGTATCCAGAAATTCTAAAATAGTCTCAAAAAGTGCAAAAAATCTTGTCAAACATACGCCTTTCGACAGCCAGCGTACTTCAGTGTGAAGGAGTAATTGATGAACGTGTTCGTCATTTTCTTCACACAACTGCGCAAATAACCGCGTATTCAACGCGTTGCTTCGGATTCGGCTTACTGCATCAATGATTAAATGAAGTGATTCATGCAATCTAACACTCAAATTTTTAGCAACTAAATGTTGTCGATGGATGACGCAATGTATTGCTAACACCCCTGACACATTTTGTTTTAAATAGCTTATAAATCCACGATAGCGTCCAACCATGGCAGGTGCTTCATCTGTAGCTACTGATTTTATATTTGATAAAGGAATTGCTTTTTTCAATGAAGTAATCCTTCAAAACATGAAATATTGATTCACCTTTAGTGTCGGTTATCAAAGTTCTTGCGAAGAGCAGTTTTTCGTAGATTTCTTGATTCATAATAAAACGAGCATATGACAATAATAATGCTGCATTATCAGATAAAGTTGACTCGTCCAGTTGTATAGAGAAATGGGTCATTTGCAAATAATTACATAAGAAGCTTTCAATATCAGAACTCATTTCATCAATACGTCTTTCAACAGTATTGTTGCTTAAGGGAATTCTTTTAATGATATCAGATGCAGGTTTGCGTAAAACAGTTTTTAAAACCTCTTCAACGGCTGGCAAAATTAACTTCTCTCCGATAGTATGCGGTTTTCCGGATTTTGCTATAAGTAACGAGATATTGTAAGACGCCCGCAAACCATCATCATTTCTTTGTGACGTCGAAGCGAACATTCTGTCCAGTGTAGGTCTCTTCTGAAATTTATCTTTGAGTGTTTGAAAGTATTTCAAATCTTTCTCTGTTTTATCAGGGTGGCATCTTCTCAGATGATCTTGCAGTTTAGATGGTTTCATAGCGTCATTGCCCAAAACTTTGTTGCATAAAAGGCACATAGGCGATTGTTTGTCCGGCAATGATGGAATGAAGCCAAATTTCAAATAATCAACACTGTACTGTCTACATTTCTTTTTAGATTCGGACATGGCATCAGTCATCTGTGGGAAAAATTAAATTATTTAAATAAGACAGAAAATCCAGCAGCTGTATATTAAAAATATTTTTTGATTTTTCCGAAAACATTCCATAATTCGAACATCTTCTTGCAACAATTAGCTCGAATTACGGAGATTGCACTGTAATTATATTACCGATTGCTAAAATTTTCAAAAAGAAACTATTGAGGAGTACTCGTGTAATTTTGCATGATTGAATATTTAACTACTAATAACTAAAGTCATGATTGGCGTAATTTATCTATCTTTGCTAACAACGAGTACAAAACTAAAATTTAATAAAAAATAATGTACTTACTTTTCTCCAGCACTCTCAAACAAAATAACATTGACTCACTATAATTTGTGTGATATACTATCTGTTTATATTTTTTAAAATATTTTCTTAGCACTTTCCTTTTCAAGATTCAGGAAACGAATAAACGTATTTGTCCCACATTCGTATTTATAGAGTGACGAATTGAACAAGTCAGTGCAAGGTAGCGAAGCTCTGAGACTGCGACTCTCAGGTTTTTACAAGTTCAAAATGTATTGCGACCACAAAACGAATACCAACATCCTACAACTTACACAATTTTATAAACATATATAATATATGTTTTACTTCATAGGTACTTTTATAAATAATGTATGTGTTTTCATATTATAAGATAGTATGATGTAAGTAAATAGGTACTATCAGTATATGTGTTGAGATCCACTCTCGTGGACCCCCATATTCATTTCATGGACCCCCAAATTTTTTTTTGCTGTCGTAGACCCCTTGCAGGTTGTCATAGACCCCTAGGGGTCGATATAGACCACTTTGGGAATCAATGGTCTAGATGGATTTCAAAACATATTCTTTTATTTGTGTATACATTGCCTTTTCCAAAAATTTGAAAAGTATAGGTAAAATGCTAATAGGCCTCAGGTCAGTACACGAGCTACGATTATTTACTTTGGTAGATAAAACAAGAGAGCTTTTCCATGATTTAGGAAATATGTTGTTTTCCAACCATTGTTTTATGATATGTAATATATGTATTGAAAGCGGAAAGAATAAATGTAAGCATTTCAAAGTCAGTTACAAATTCAATAAAACCGATTTTTAAATTCAAATTTAAAATGATGCACTATGCTAGTTGAATTGGATTGTTGTGAAGGAGCTTGGGTAATAAAATAGGGTGCATGAAATGTACCATAAGATCGCAAATGCTTTTTTCTCGTTGCATCGTCTCCGCTTTACGTAACAGTCCTTATCTCGTGTGGGAGAGTTCCACGCACTGGCCAATGCATATGATAACAAATTAGTATAAAAACTCGTCATTTTGTTGATATGGTCATCATTCAGTGTCCCAGCTCTTCAGCAAAGCAATACACACAGCAACAATGAAGGTTAGTAACTTTTTCATCAGGATGATTTTCTCTTTTCTAGTTCCATTTCCATTGCAATGCCTTTCATTTTAAACAATATTTTCTGTCCTGGTTTATTCCACTATAAAGAAAAATAACAATTTTATTTTCAGTTTATTTGACTAAAATCTGTTTTAAATTCGCCAATTTGAAACTAAATCAAAATGTAAATATTTATGGAATTTTCTTCTGAGAGATGGTAATCAATAGTTTCTTGAGCTCAGAATTCATTTTTCTATCTTTTATAGCCATTTCAGGGCGTAGTTTTTGGTGTCTTTTTAATGTTTCATTTTATTTCAGGTAGCCGTATTCGCTCTTATCGCTCTCGCCTCAATGGCGAGCGCCTCCATCTACGACGTGTTGGAGGGACACACTGGTCATGCATACGGTGCCGGTTACGGAACTGGATACCCCTACATCCACCCCATTGTCGCTGCACGCTACGGAGCCTATCCGCACGTCTACGGAGCCTACCCTCACTGTCTACGGAGCCTACCCCCACCACGTCTACGGTGCCTACCCCCACGTTTACGGAGCTGACAAAGTGGTTGTACCTTACGTTCATGCCGGCAGGTGAGATTCCAACACTTGATTACTGAGAAAGACATATTACAGAAATTAACCGATCGACACAAGGCTAATAAAGCCCTACGAACCTCATCGCAGTGTTTGGCAAAAAGTGGCACACATTCTAGTGCACTTTTGACTAACGATATTTAGTTACAGATGCAAAAATTATTAATTTAAGAAAAATAGGAAAAATAAATTGTTATTCACATTTATCTTTCAACAGTTTTTATCATAAACTCGTTTAGTTAACATTTCTAAAACCCTGTTTTATAACTTTCTTGTATAGTGTTTTTGAAAATGTCATTTATCAGTTATGTTAATTATTGATGAATTTCTCACTAAAGCACTCGATGAAAAACAAGTTAGCCTGCTCCTTCTTAGCGGATTTCATGTTTCGAACAGCTGAACTGGTTGAATGTTGCAAAATTGCATAAGCCTCATTTATTATGCTATGTTCACAACTCCTACGTACTCCGATTCCTTTATATTTGCAAAATAAATTGATATCTCGTGAATATATCCATTTATTTTAACTACGAGCCCCTTCCCACTTCAGTTGGCGCACTTCAAGATTTGTACCAAAATATGCCTTTATAAACTAAACATGACGAAACTATTTACTTCTAAAACAATTTATTTTCTCAAAAACATTTTAGATACACTCTAGTCGTAAAAAATACATATTTGAAATCACTTAGACCTATAACTAATAGAACATCTGAACAAATAAACAATGTGCGAGTAAATGCGCGAAGTTAACAAAGCAACAACTGAAAGATTACCATTGGGTCACTATCACATTTATTTTTTGATACGGCTGAAATTCTTTGGGGCATAGTGCTAACCAAGTTTTGGCAAAAATTTAGTGTAAAACAATCCCTTATTTCTTGAAGCTTTTGTCTCAGTTCGGTGATTGAACGAGCAGGATGTTGTCGTAGAACCTTTTTCATCTCGTGCCACAAAGTTTCAATAGATTTTGAGGTATGGCACGCTGCACCATCTTGCTGAAACACAAAATCTTGGCCGGATGTCAAACATTTTTCCATCAATGGTAAAAGCGATTCATCTAAAATTGACAAATATTTGTTTGTATCCACACTTCCATCAATAAAATGAAGTTTTCCTACTCCTTTTGATGACATACTGCTCCAGACCATAACGGATGTTGGAATATTCACTTTTCTCTTCAGACAGTCAACATGGAATGCTTCATTGTTTACGAATAACTCTACTGCGACTGTCACCAACACAAACTTCGAATCGGGCCTCATCACTCCATTGTATTGCACACCATTGTTGAGGTGTCCATTGTTTATGTTCTTTAGCCTATCTAAGCCTATTCTTCTTTTGCAGTGGAGTTAATAGTGGCTTTTCTTTGGCCTATAAACAAATTGTGCAACTTTAGGTTTTTAATTCACTTTTTTTATAAGAAAACTTACCTTGCAAGTGCTAAATCCCAGTTTGTGGGCCTCTTTATGAGTTGTGGACCTCGAAATTCTCCTTCCAACAGCGTCACTCCACAGAGCACTTAATTGTAAATAATTGGCACGCCTGTTTTTCACGATTATTCTTCTTAATGCTCTTCGGTCTGCATTTGTGATATTACTTTTTTTCACATATCGTGGCTTAATATTAACTGAACCTGTTACGTTATATCTTCTAACAAAATTTCTCATACTGTACCGCGATAAGTCTAACGAAGTTGCAATTTCTGAGTTTGATTTCCCAGAATAAAAAAATTAATTATCAGTAACCAAATTTTCTCACTAATAACCTTTCCTCTACCCATTTTGAAAACCTTAACTACCCAAAACTATTTTAAACGTATTCTGGCAGCTGTCATTAATAAAAACAATTGTCATGGCTTTTATTTTTCACACTATAATGCCATAAACCTATATAATGCATTACCATCGACTGGTAAACATTATGATTTCAATAACTCCCTCAACAATCTACTGAAATCTTACTTGATTTTTCATCAACAGAGACATCGTCCACGACAACATTGACCTGCAGACCCAGCACCAGCTCCAGGCCCAGCATGAGCTGACCCAGGAACACCAATTGCAGCACGAACACAACCTCCAGCACCAGCAGGAACTGGAACACGAACAGGCTCTGAGCCGTGAACACCATCTGGAACAGATCCAGCTGTTGCAGCACCAACAGCAACTGCAGAACCAGCAGCAGCTCCAGCAGCAACAGACCCTCCAACAACAGCACCTCCAGCAGCAACACATCTTGGAACACCAACAGTACGATGACGACACCTACAACGGCGCTGCCGGTATTGTAGGACATGTCGGTGTTGGATATGGAGGTAGGTCAATAGTATATGAACCTCACCTTCATAGACCCTTCGTAATATAACGTATATATAACTTGAGCCGTGGTCATTGTCGTCTAAATAACCAGTCAGGTGAGAACAGCAGATTAAAGCAATGAGTACTCCTTTTACTTTATTTTCTCAATCAAAACCAAAATGATCTCATCAACTTAATTAATAATGCCATTTAGCAACAATCTCACATACTGTTGTAAGTAGTATAAACTCAATCTTGCACTTGTAGTTGCTATTTTTGCAAATGTTATTGTAGCTCCTGATGATGATGAAAAAGTTCACAGAAAGCTTGAGAAAATGTCGAAGGCTGAAGCTTTTCTCACCTGACCATCACATCACTTGCAACCTTTTGACCACGTTAGCAATTTGAGATTATTTCAGTATAAGAACACCGCATTAGTGACCTAGTCGAAGCTTGCTAATCTGGACCACGATATTGTGCTAGGATATGGTGGTGTGAACAGCGTCTAATCATTTTTTATCCTAAAATGTTTTTTTCTTTCATTTCCCTGTTCTTTTGTGACTGAGCATTGTCTAACTCCTGAGTAACCAGACCTAGCTTAGGTTCTGATACAATGACATGTCACTTAGTTTCGTGGTGTTTCCAAGTTATGTAAGTTTCAGAGTAAATATTTACAACTGGGCCAGTGCATGAGTCAGTGTCAGGAAATTTTCTTGCTACCAATTCAGTTTGATATAAATCAGAAAGACTTCTGTAATTTTGATTTATTCTAACAATGTGTTAAAGTTGCTTTAAAACATTTTCCATTTTTTTTCAGCCTACAGCGGTGTCCACCACTACCCATCAATCCACCACCACTACCCTACTGTGTACTAAGATATGTATATTTTAAGAATGATGTTTAATAAATAATTTTATTTATACCATTCCTGTTGCATTCTGTTCAAAGCCATAACCTGTTTATATTGTTGAAACCCAATTATGGATTGAAATTGTCCTAAGGCAATATTGGATGCCACCAACAAACTGCTTTTTTGATAATCTACCATTTTTGTCTGGCCAATAAAATTAGATACACTGAGAACCAAATTTGTCTGACGGCTTGAGTTCAATGTATACAAGAGAGTAGTATTGCAATGCAGGGAGGCTCTGGATTGCCTTGCAGCGAGGCATCCGGTATCATTAATATGGGTACCTGGGCACTGCTGTGATAAGGGGCAATGAGACGGCGGACACTCTGGCGAAGACAGGATCAGCCAGCAAGCTCGTTGGTCCTGAGCCAGCTCTAGGAGTGTCCGCGTATAAAGCTAGGAGGAAAATGGAGACGTGGGTTGCAAGACAACACTCTCAGAAATGGAGAAGTATCTCCAGACATCTCCGCCAGGCACGGGAACTCATTGAAGGGCCCAGTGCTAAGGATGGACGCTTCTGCCTATCTCTGGATAGAGCCAACCTAAGGTTGCTGATGGGACTGTTCTCTGGCCATAACACGTTAAGGCGTCACCTACACGTGATGGGGGTGGCTGAGGATCCCTTGTGTGAACGCTGCGGGGTAGAGGAAGAGACCTCGACGCACGTTTTGTGTCGCTGTGAAGCTCTGAGCTACAATAGGCAGACTATACTGGGGTCCATTACTTTGGACCCTCAGGACATCAAGGAGCTTGGAGTCAAGACGATTCTCAACTTCGCTAAAAGGGCGAGGCTTGTGATCTAAGGATTGTAGAGGTGCATAAGGGCCCGCTAAAGCGGCCTTTGCACTGGCTTCTCATGGTGGCTGGAATGCCTCTAATTTCAAGATTCATTCATTCATTCAGTGTTTATAGACACATACACTACCGTTCAAAAGTATTTGAACACCAAGAAAGCAAGGAAACTTATGGAAGTTATTAAAGAAAATATATATTACAATATCTGTATGAAACGGCATACAACGATTTATAATCAAAATAATCAGATTTTAAGTCTTCATTTACTGTTAATTACAGCTTGGCAAATGATGGGTAAACCCGAAACTAATTTTTCTTTTTTTTCGTCTTATTAATATAATATAATATTTTCCATAAGTGTTCTTGAGATGTAGGACAACATTTCCGTGCTTGTTTGTCAAGCTCATCTCACAGCAACTCTATCAGATTCAAATCTGGGGACTGGGTAGGCCATTGCATGATTTTCAAAATATTTTGTTCTTCTTTTGCTCCTCGGAATATTCTTTAGTTTTACCTATTTTGTCCAGAAAAAAATAAACGAAAACGCACTTGTTGAATAAATCTTGAACTATACTAAGTGACATATAAATCCGAACACCCAGTTTAAATGGTTTTATTTTAATAAAAGTTGGTGAATGTATTTATCTTACTGTAAATAACAAGTGAAAGCCTTATCAGTTGGACATTCCGGTTTTTATACAGCTTTTTTTTAATTCACTAACACTCTAAAAATGAATATTTCAGCCGCAGTAAAGAATCAACGTTGGCGGATTTTGGTTCTTGACATCCTTTACGATCGGTTACGATGCCTAGAGTACGGAGACCTGTACGATTTCGTCAACTTAGTGAGTTTGATAGGGGCCGTATAGTGGGACTTCGGGAAGCTGGACTTCCTTTTCGGGCAATTGCAGTTAGAGTGCAAAGAAGTGTAGACACTGTGGTTAGGTGTTGTCAGGCATGGCTTCGAGAAGGCCGTACGCAAAGAGCAAGGGGCACTGGACGCCGCCGTAGAACAACAGACCGTGAAGATCGCCGCCTAAGATTATTGGCCTTAAGGGACCGTTTCTCCAGTACCAGGTCCATTGCAAATGAATGGTTTGCAGAACACGGAAGACCTATTGGCATGCGAAGTGTTTACCGACGTCTGAGAAGTTTTGGCTTGTTTTCATACCGGCCACACTGGGTCCTCCCTTTAACTCGAGAACACCGACGTAATCGCCTTGAGTGGTGCAGACAACGGTCACTCTGGGATCAGGAATGGAACAGTATTGTCTTTAGTGACGAGTCTCGATTTTGTTTAGGCATGCACGATGGTCGTGCCAGGGTTAGAAGGCCACGTGGTGAAAGGAGGAATCCACAGTTTTTTGTTGAAAGACATGTTCATCACGCTGTTGGAGTTATGGTATGGGGTGCTATAGCGTATGGTTCCAGGTCACCTTTAATCTTCATCAGAGGTAACATGAACGCGCAGCGTTATATCCACGAAGTTCTAGAACCCCATCTTTTACCCTATCTTGACACCCTGGCAGATCCAACATAATGATGTCACATTGTTACCATGGCCACCAAGATCTCCCGACTTATCCCCAATTGAGCACGTGTGGGATATGATAGGTAGGAGATTGCTCAATTTGCAACGTCCTTCTCAGACTCTAGAAGCACTTCGAGATGAGTTGGTGGTTGCCTAGAATGAGATACCACAGGAGGACATTGACCACCTGATCAGAAGCATGCCTAGGCGCGTTGGAGAATGCGTAGCATATCAGGGTGCATCCACACATTATTAAAGGTCAAAGGGCTTTAAAGCAGTACAATCATTCTGAAATTTTTATCATTTACTTATTATGCTTCATCAAGTACTTATACAAAATTTATTAAAATAAAACCATTTAAACTGGGTGTTCGGATTTATATGTCACTTAGTACTCGTATATAACGTATTGAAGCACGGTTAGTTTAACAAATGAGACAACTGAAGTAAGACTGTGTTATGGGTTTACGAACAACACAAATCCTAAGAAAGAATTCCTATACAAAGACATAACAATATTCTAAAAGCAACGAAATTTCAGTGATGCTTGATTTCCATGGTGATGGATTTCAATAAATAAAGAAAAATAAATACGTACTGAATATTTTTTTGTTTATGATTTTAAATGGAAATATGCATGTGTTCAAATACTTTTGAATGGTAGTCTGTTATAATGAGATAGAATCCGCCTGTATATAGCAAAGCTTATCATCGCGTTGCCTAGCAACGCTGGCGCGGCATTTTGTCGCATTGCCAATAATATTACACCACTTCTTTGAATTGAGATGAACATTGAAAGTATGCGTTAGGTTATTCTTTACGTCCAAATAGTGGCTTTATTCCTGTTTGACGATTCATGTGTGAAAGCGGAATTGTATGAAAAAATTAAACAGCACAAACCTGCGAACATTAGTTACGTGACTGATGAGATGGCCCGTCAATGTGGTGTCACTGTGCTGCGGTTACCGCCCTACCACTGTGAACTGAACCCAATAGAGCTATCCGTCATGTTGTGAAGGAAGAAACAAAAATGTGGCAGCTTGACCACCACATCGACACCATCATAGAGCCAGTTATAGTAAATTTCAACGAGGAAAGCGATAGCGACAGTTTATTACTGTCAGATGTAAGTGGAAGCGACGATGAATAAAGGTAATTCCCAAATTTTTTACTTACAATATGTTTCAAACCACTCTTTATTAAGCATGTGACAAATCTAGTTCACCCATGTTAAACATTCATACCCCGCCTATGAACAGCCGACTACTGGTAGTTAAGTGATGTTCACGTGAACATCGATGAGTCATTACAGTTTTAGATAGTTATAGTATAGCCCTACGAGACATTCGGGTTTGGACTTCTTTCATACCGTCCACGGTTAGTGGTTCCTCGAGATTCTGTCTAGGTACGCACGATGGTCGTAGAAGGGTAAGACGCTGCCGTGGAGAACAGCGTGATATTGGATTTGGTGTTGAGAGGCATGTACACATTATTAATTTTTTTCTTATTACCTCTCAATGAAATTTCGCGAGAATATTATCGTTTCCTTCTTGATGTAAGACTACCTCATTGCCAAAAAATCAAGTTAAAGAACGTATTTTTTTTCTGGGTGCAAGACTTCTAATGTCACTGAGTACTTTTTACGTATCTTTATCTGCAAATTTTATTATCGCACCTCGAATTATACACAGTTGATATTTTATTTAACCTGAACCAAGCACATTTAAATTTCGCACCACCTCTGCCGATACATAAGCTGCAAATATTTACAGACCTTAGTCAACTCAATGAACTATAATGGTATACAGACGAGGGTTGTTCAATTGAAATCGATTTTTGGTCCAGAAATAATCTATTGGCAAATATATCTTACCACTACAATTGAGGCAAATATCCCATTGATTCACCAATCGATGTATACCCTGCTTGTGTATTCTTGTGTCTGCTGCTTGAAGAATTATTTTGTAATTCTTCGTCAGACTGAAAATGCTTACCTTTTAACGCTTCAGTGGCCCAAAGATGTGAAAATCGCCGGGCGATAAATCGGGACTATAGTGCGAATGCTCTAATATCCTTCTTTTATTTCCTTGTGGATTTTCTTTCACTACTCTGGCAACATGAGACCGAGTATTGTCGTGTAGAAGAATGACACCACTTAAGAGCTTCCCTTGGCGTTTTCGTCTTATTGCTTGATGGAGATTGTTCAAAAGAAATTAATAAAAACCTTTTTGTAACCGTATACTTTTATTATACAACGAAGTACAATGTAAACACAACTGAAACATTTTCAATGAACCAATTTTCATATAAAAATACAGTTATATAACATAACGCAAACTTATTATCATTATTTTACACAAAATGTTTTACCGGTGCGATTTGAATAAATAATGAATAACGTACAATTTAAAACCGAATATCAAAGTTTGTTTTATAATCAATATAAAAGTTGTATAACGAGTATATAAGAACCAATCGATTCAATTTTTATCTCGAGAATACACTTTTGTCGTTAAGTCCCGTGAGACTCAATAATAATATACGCGATGAGGTGATGAAGCAATGTCAAAATGGTATTCTTCATGTAGTGCGGTGTCTTTATAAAATGTAAGTCAGTCACATATAACCATATTCTGCAAAAGCAAACCATCGAAGCTTAATTTAGGACTGATCTAATGGTAACCCTATC